AAACACATGGTTATTGCACTGTGAAACTTTCTCCTCCGGCTATCTGCATAGCTCCGTATCAGGACTCCAGTAAAAGAGACAAGGTTTGTTCTAACACCTTTTGAAGGCTCCAAAACATTCTGTTGACTCCTTGCAGTTACTGATCTGTTCACAGGATCCAATTCTGATACTCTCACCCCCAAAACTGTGCACACGCTACTCACTTTGGAGCTACTCAGGAAGCAAGAGGAGCAGATCAGTTAGACATTTTACACAGTTAGGCAGGAAAAAGCACAAGTTTCTTACTATAAACAACATTTTATTTTTTCAGAAACTATCCTCGAGTGATATGCCAATTCTTTTTCACATCTTATAAAAATAAAATTTTAGAAGCAGCCAGAACTCATCATGCTGATTAGGGACGATGCGATAATTTGTACTGTCAAAACATCTAACATGGCCACCAGTGACCCCTTCCATTGTGTCCATTTTCATCTTCCCAACAATATTTTCTAATAAGACTTACACATGCTAGTGAAACGGAAGCCCAACATCTTTTAAAACAAGTTATTAGTCAGAAAAAGTAAATTTCTAAGTAGGAAAAGTAGCGTTAAAGAAGTTCATAGTTTTTCCTCAAGTTACACTCAGGAGGACAATATCACTTACTGTTTCAGTGGGGCCTCAAAAACCTTAAGTAAAGCTGATTTTGGACCATTTTTATTTGAGGTTAAAATACATGTGTATAAACACTATTAACACCCTTCCATTTCCAAAACCATGGTAACCTAAAAAAAACCACATTTAGAGTGAAACAACTTTTCCTGCACCTTACTTTACATCCTATTCTTTGCAAGAGTAAAAGAAAGAACTATGACTTACCAGTTTAATATCAATATTTGTGGCACTGGCATCCAAGGAATTTTCTGTCAGCTCCTTCACAACACTGACAACTGATGTAATCACCTGAGAACTTGAAAGGAGACGAATAGTTTCTGCTGGCAGCTGCTTCATAGTGGAATAAGATTCAAAGAAACTGCATAGAAAGATAATAGAAAAAAAAAATGTAAAAGGCACATGACAAATACACATTTCTAACTTATTATTTTAGAGCAACTTTTAAGTGTAGGCGAAATGTAACATTACAGCTAAAGAGTAAAATTTCTGAGATACAGTAAGACCCAGCTTCCTCTGCAGTCAGTGGGAGTTTGACCTGTGGAAGAAATAGAATACAGGTCTAGACTAGAAAACATTTTAAGTAGATTAAACTTCTAATGGAAAACCTTAAGAATCCCAAGATATGCTGACCAAACCAGTATATTTCTCACACGTGTACAGTCATCTCTAAATTACTGTAACATGTGGCTGTGTTCTTACAATTACAAGAGTAGACAGACCACATAGTAACCCAGAATGCTTGTCAGAAGTGTCTTCAGGTAAGATATTTACCCAGCATCAGGTCTAATTCCAGCACTGATGCAAAAAAAAAACCCAGTACTACTTTTTTTTTTTATTACAAACTCCTTACATCATTCTCTCCCCTCCCTGATAATTTACAATTTCTGTGCTCAGCACTGCTGTGTTCTGTGTATGATTCCCAGCACCTAGAAATTCATGGAAAAAATAGGACCTGAAGGTAACTGTTTTGGAGTTGGGAAAGAAATGGGAAGGAAGCATAGTGGTAACGAGCCAAAAGTCATATTCAAAGATAATGTGATCTACTGGCAATAATGAAAAACAAAACCAAACCAAAAAACTTCTGAATTACAACCTTGCCTTTCTAATCTGACTTACTGTGTGCCCTCAGGCAGGTCACTTTATTTCTGTCTCTCTATCATCCACTTAAAAATGGAGACGCCATTATAAGCAAACAGAGTTATTTTTTTAAAATCACTGAAAACACATACAAAGGATTATAAAATTCCTGCTGCATTATAGTGACACTCTACCACGAAGAGACTGTAAGTGGATCTGCAAATTTTTGCAAGTGTTTCTGTTTAAGTACCCAAGTAGACAAAATTAAATGTTTGTCGATCCTTGTAGCCTGACACAAAGAACTCAACCACAGTTTTTCACACATATGAAAATAGGGAGAAGAAAGAGCATTGCTAAACAGCTCTTTGCACCACAAGAATGGTTCAGATCTGGGTTTCTTCTCTCCACACCAGCACTCTTTACTGCGTTATGTTACATAATGTTGTTTACACTGAAAGGCAAACAATCCCAGCAGTCATGGCTTCCCCATTGATTCAGCCCAAGCTATCTACTGGAGAATACAGACTGCACGCTCAGCACCCATCCCAAGGATATGAGCACATGTAGAGGAATGGAACAAACCCAATTTCCTCCTGACACTGGCAGGACACAGCAAGGGACCGCAGCCAACACCCCAGAGCACACTATCCTGCAGGCTATATGCAGCTGATACAACAATTACAGGACGCTTCTCTGCCTTGATATCCTTCTAAAGACTGCCACTCTTTAAACATAAAAGACAAAGAAAAAACATGCTTACTTGGGGACAAAAAGGTACCGTGTTTTGAAGAGGAAGCAGAATTAAAACTTTCCTAAGAACAGCTACAGAGAGGTTTTCTCTTCATACTTGTTATTTACATTCCAAAGGGATGGCCTTTCAGATGTGGTAAAAAGATCTGACAAATCAGTTTTCCACCAAACAAACTGGAAAAGGAGCACAGGAAGACGCATGTTATTGAAGACAGACCAATATTAATCACATACACGCATTCAGAGAAGCGGGTTTCACAATTCTGTGATTCTATTTCCTCACGCACTCAATGCGTTATACAGGACTCCTGTGTCAAGTGCTGCATGGTTGATTAACTAGTAACAAGCACCAGATGGGACACCAACTGACTGAGACGAGGGAGGGTCTTAAAACAAAAATGCTGCAGAGCCCAAACGTCAAATTTTCTATTGAGGTGTGACTGATGCAGGCAATTTGGGAGAGAAACCAGCTCCTAGTGTGCCCTCCCCTCCCCTGGACCCAAACCACCCTGCAGAAGGGTGGTTTGCACCCACGCTGGGCACACCTCAGTCAGGGGCACCTGCTGGCAAGGGAGCAACCTCTGGTCCTTGTCACCTATAGATACACGTCCAATCCCCGACTACTTTTATCTGAGACACCTATTCCAGCTCAAACCACGTTAGTACTACAGCTCTTTGCTGACTGGATGTATTTATAATCCGTGCTCAGCTGGGCAGGCACAGTGTTTTGTCAGTTTCACAGTGCTCACTGCCCTTTTACTCCTCTGAAGGCAGTCACACACCTCAGCAAGGGGGGGTTCTGCGACACCACACGCCATCAGGTGAAGCGTGAAGAAAAACTCATTTAAGCTTCATCGCTGCAGCCCCACAGGCTGCTGGAGCAGCACCCACACCCCACCCCAACTGCCACCGCTCCTAGGAGTCCAGCAGAACACCAACTGAGGGAATTCTTTATGAGGGAATAAAAAAAAAAAGAGGGAGAAAAAGCTGCAGACAAAAACCTGCGGCCGGGTCACCCTTGAGTTCGCCTAGAACCACACGTAGGGCCTGCGGCTCCCGGTTCTGCTTTTCGTGAAGGAAAACACGGTCAGCAACGCGCCGAGGAGGAGGAGGAAGGGGAGGAGAGAGGAGGGAGGGCCGTCACTGAAGCGAGGGACGCGGTTCCCGCCCGGCTAGCGGGCCTGGCTCCCCGACACCACCCGGCCCACCTTCAGGGGCCGCCGCACCGCACCAGGCCCAGCAGGCCCGGGCCTAGGCCCCGGCCCGTCCCGCGCAGCCCCGGGGCGGCAGCGGTTCCCGCCGCCAGCTGCCCGGGGAAAGCAGCCTCCCCACCCCGGCCGGGGCCCTCAGGGCAGGCGGCGGCGGTTGCGGCATTCCCCATGGCGGCGGGGGGGAAGCTGCCTT